GAAATCAGGGGTGGAAAGGAGGAGTGTGCTGTCACAGTATAAGGACAGCAATTAGGGTCACATAACAATATGTGTATGAATTTTTGTATGAGAGACTAACATGTAAACTTTCACTTAAAATACAACAATTAAAAAAAAAGTCAAGGTAAGCGAAGTAAAACTAGAAATAATCCAGGAGACAAAAATATGAAAAAGTTTTAAAACAATGAAACGGGAAACAAGAAAACAAACCAAAAACGGCAGTAACATAAATGTCTAGAGGATCCTCTAGGCCAAGCCAATGCTCCTGGCAGAAGCTGGAGGACAGATAATGGAATGCTTTATGTCCTACAGTTTCCTCACACCTATGCTTCTCCCTCTAGTACCATTCCTGTCTCTAGTTAACAAAAAGCAAAGAAGGGGAGCTGCATGCCTTCAGCAAACAGCCAATACTAACAGATTTTCCTTATATCTCATACGTTCTCATAATATAACGACAAGAACAGTGAAAATGAGTATCATCAATTCAAGAGTATTTAGAATTAGCTACCACACAGAAAAACTTGAAATGCCCTGACATCTTACTATTCTTACATGAAAGAAACTTGTTAGTTTTCCAGTTTGAGAACAATCCTAAAAATTTACATGCACTGTCAATAAGTTACGAAGTTTTCAAATTTATCAATAATGAAAAGTCAATCTCTGTCTGCCAGGCTAGAGGGAAGACAGAATTTCCGTTGTTTTTTTTCTAGTCTCTCTATGTAAAAGATGTAATAAAATCCTTAATATATGAGGAGACAACTAAAGAAAATGCAGCCAAAAACTTAGGAAAGAAGTAATATATCAGGCAATTATTAATGAATAAAAATATGCCTTGGCGGAGGGGAGATTTTGTGACGTGTGTGGTATATGTTAGCTTTTTAAAACGAATGATTTGTTGCAATTTTTTCCTCATTCTAAATAAATATTCACTTTGGTTTCTAATTTTGTATTCCTTTTCTTAAAGAAGTCAGTCAAAATATATAAGCTTCAGGGCTCCTACAACATGGGCTCCTACTGACCAGGGTTGCTCGTGTTACAGAGATCAACTTGTCTGCAACAAAGATCAGCCTTGAGTCCCTGATGCAGCACCATCCTTCAATCATACTATTGAGCACTTAGTGACAAGTTGATTACATTGGATCTCTGCCACCCTGGAATGGGCAGCAATTCATCTTGACTGGAATGACGCATATTCCAGATAGGGTTTGGTTTTCTTGCTCTCAGAGCTTCAGTTAGCACCAATATCCAAGAGTTTACAGAATCTCTGATCCATCCAAAAGGAATCTCATATAATATCACGTTGGGCTAAGGGACCTACTTTATAGAAAAGGAGGTGCAACAGTTGTCACATGACCAGGAGATCCACTGGTCTTATCATACGCCAAACCATCCAGAATCTGTCAGCCTAATGAAGCAATGGAATGACCAGATGAAAGTGAAGCTGAAGCACCAGCTTGGAAAAGATACCCTACAAGGATGGGACTCTATCCTCAAGGACACAGCTACACCCTAAATGAATGACCTTTTTTTTTTTTTTCAGTGCTTTGTCCTCGATAAGTAGAATAGTTAGATCTAGGAACCAATGGGTGGAAGTAGGAGTGATCCACGCATTTGTAGTGAATCACTTGGAGTATTTGTGTTTGTGGGTTCTGAAAGTCTAGGCTCTGTGAGTTATAATAGTTTTAGTGGCAGAGGCTTTAGGTGGACCCACTAACCTTCCCCTTGTACATTTCTCCAGGAAGAGAGATTAGCCATAATCCTGGAGGAGCTGTTTCCAGATTGGCGACTTTATACAAACCAAGTGGATCCAAATGGTACAAGAGGTGGACAATTGTGGATGCTTTTGTGTGTCACCCAGATCTATCCACTTCAAGAACAAGATACTCACTCTCCCAGCTGCTGGGAGCATTGCCTGATGACTGTCCAGCTGAGTTCCTTCCCAGGAACTGCCCTTGGTCAAAGGAAGCTTAATCACTCAAGATCATACTCCCTCTGCAGGTCCATGGTGAATGTACAAAGATCTAGCCCCCTTACTTCAATTTGGGATAACTCTGCAGGGTCATGCAGTTCTAGAGAGTCCCCCTCGGACCAGCTAAATCTTTTTTCAACTTTTCCCTCTGTCCAATCTTGATTCCATTAGTCTCTTACAGACGTTGTTGTCAAGAGCGCTCTCCAGTAAACTTCCGCAGAAAATCTCCACTACAGAGTCAGTGTCCAAGGGAACCCAGCCTAATGCACTTACCAAGTACTGTACAGTGAAACCTGTGAGAGCTGGAATCTGATGGGACTGCCCTGTTTTTTTTGGGTCTCGCAAGTTTTTCATCTTTGACAAGGTGCAGTCACCACTTTTCTATCGCTCCCTATTTAGTGGAAACTATTTGAGTCTGTTCTCTGACAGGTTTTCGCCTCACACAGGTTCTGGCTTTTGCAGGTTTCACTGAATAAACAGGCTGAACTACATGTACGTATGTTCAGTCCATAGATTTCTAGTAGTATTTTAAGACTGCAAATGAATATGTGCATCAAGTACTTTCATATGACTAATTCTTTTCATCTTCATTATATTTCTGTGAAATAGCATAACCTCATTGTATAGATGGATAAATTGAGAAAATAATTAGCTGCAGTAAATAACACATACATAGAAGGTGCATAAAATACATTGAATAAGTATGATAGTAATAATTCGTAGTGGTAGTGAGGAAAGGGTAGTGGTAAAAAGCAAGAGTTCTGGAGTCCTGGTTCTTACTAGCTGTGTGATCTTAGGCAAGTTGCTTTATCTCTTTATATCTCAGTTTTGTTCATGTAGATAAAGGGATAAATTATGCAATCCCTGTAAAATGCCTAGCACGGTTCTTGATATTCAGTAAATGCTCAATAAATATTAAGGGGTTTATTTATAGTTTGCTTCTCAGGGTAAGTGAGTGAAGTTGGAACTATCATTACCGTTTGGCCCAGAAGTAGGCCCAGAAAGATTTCAGAGGTTTTTACCCTTTTTCTGCCATGGACCCCTTTGGCGGTATGTTGAAGCCCAGGGGAAAAGTCACCAGCTCTGCTGTGGTTTGTTGCCTACATTCATTCACAACTGAAGAAAAGGTTAAATTTCAGTTAGAGGCTAGTGAAAATAGAGATGTAGTTTTGCTTTCCATTCAAGTTCACAAATCACCAAAATTCTGTCTAATGATAACATAGATTCCCAGGTTAAGAAAGCAAATACCCAAATACCTAAGATTACACGAGACTAAGATCAAGCTGATGATCAACTCAACATCATGTCTGGTATAGTAGAGGGCCAACAAAATGAGGGAAACCCTCAATAAGACAGATTGACATAGTAGCTGCAACAATGGACACAAACATACCAACCATCATGAAGATGGTGCAGGACCACGACACATTTTATTCTGTTACACATAAGGTTGCCATGAGTCAGAGCTGACTCGACAGCTACTAACAACATAAACATCAAACTGATTTTTAGTGAGAATACAAAAACAAACTTACCTTTTCCTTTAAATTAATAGCATCAACCCGTAGACCAGTGATATATGCTTCCAAATTTTCTCTGAATTTACCAAAAGTAGCATCTTTATTTGCTTCACTTAACTTCACAACTGTTTTTAGTTGACTAAACTTGATAAGAAGGATTTTATATATGGCAACTTGCTCTTCTGGAATATGGATCTGGTAATACTTTACAACTGCATTCAGCTGAGCAATTGTTAAGTACTCTTTTTCTAATTTAGATATTTTTGTGGAAATTTCATCCAAGAAAGTAAAATGTTCCACAAATTCTTCTATTTCAGTAGGTTCACATTCTAGCTTTCTCAATGATGATTCTACAACCTGAAATAATTGACACATTAATTATAATTACATAATGATTTTTCAGTATTCTAATACTCTTCTTAACTTATCTAACAATAACTTCAGCAAAAAATGAAGACTTCATCTAGACATAATTCTAAGTATTGTTTAAATTCTAGGGTATTAACATGATCAAATCCTTCTATTGTTAACAGAAAGAACTTGACTATATCTCCCACATAAAATACATGCTACTAACACACAAAAGAAGCACTATGATGAATAACTTTGTATACAAGAAATAAATGTAATAACAATAGCAAGAGTATGACTGAAATGTGAATAGGCATAATTGCTACCATTTTTTGAGTGTTTATGTGTTAGACTTTTTATATACATGATCTCTCTTTAATCTTATGTTTGCTAAGCAGGTATTATCTCTAGTTTGCACAAGAGGAAACTGAGTCTCTGAGGGATTAATTAGCTGAAGATCACAAATTCAGTGAGTTACAGAGCTATGATTCAAACCCAAATCTGATTCCAAATCTCACTGTTTTCCCCTATGCTGTCCCTCTGTAGCCACTGTAAGTATATAACATCCACACCTTTCATAAATACATGCATATAATTCCATTAAATTTTCAAAGTAATTGTATTTCTATATTCAGATTACAACTTTATCATATTTTCCTCTTGTTTCAAGTTTTCCTAATGAATACTTATGCATAATTTTGGAATCAAGTCAGTTCAATTTTCAGTCTTCGTAATGTTGAATTAATTCCCTGTGTATGTTTCTTTAATTATTCAAACAATGTTTTATTTGGTTATAAAAATAATAGATACTGTGCACCAATGTTCACTGCAGCACTATTCACAATAGCCAAAGGTAGAACAACCTAAATGTTCACTAGCAGATGAATGTATAAACAAAATGTGGTCCATACATACAATGGAATATTACTCAGCCACAAAGAGAAATGAAGTCCTGATACATGCTACAACATGGAGGAATCTTGAAAACATTATGCTGAGTGAAATAAGTCAGTCACAAAAGGACAAATATGGTATGATTCAACTTACATTAAATCAGCAAATGTATAGAGATCAAAGTTTATTAGGGATGTCTTAGTTTACTTAGTGCTGCTATAACAGAAATACCACAAGAGGATGGCTTTAACAAACAGAAATTTATTTTCTCACAGTTTAGGAGGCTGGAAGTCTGAATTCAGAGCACTGGCTCTAGAGAAAGGCTCTCTCACTCTCTTTTCCTCTAGGGGAAGGTTGCTGTTTCTTTTCAGCTTCAGCTTCAATTTCTAGGTTCCTTGGAGATCATGTGCTTTGTATCTTCTCCATTTGTGCTTGCTTGCTTGGTTACTTAATCTGCTCTTTTATGTCTCAAAAGAGACTGGCTGAAGACACATCTACACTAATAATTCCTCATTAACATAACAAATAAAACCCATTCCCAAATAGTATTATAACCACAGGTATAAAAAAGAAACCAAACTCGCTGTCAAATCGATTCCAACTCACAGTGATCTTATAGGACAGAGTACAACTGCTCCATAGGGGTTAGGATTTACAACACATATTTTTTCGGGACACAATTCAATCCATAACAAGTGGTTAATAGGGATCAGAGGGAGGGGGAAAGAGTAAGTCTTTGCTTATAGGGCACTGAGTTTCTGTTAATGGTGGTGGAATAATTTGGAAACGGATAGTGGTGATGGCTGCACAACATGATGAACATAATCAATGTCACTGAACTGTACATGTAGAAAATGATGAATGGGCAAATGTTTTGTTATATATATTTTTTACCACAATAAGACAATAAAAAAAAAAGAACGGAAAAAAAATAGATGCTCATGCAAAATTACTGCAGTACAAAAATGCTTATAAAATAGAAAGTCATCCATCAGCTAGAGATGTTGTTGTTCTTGGTAGGTGCCATCGAGTAGATTCTGACTCATTGAGACCCTACATACAATAGAACGAAACACTGCCCGGTCCTTCGCCATCCTCACAATCATTGCTATGTTTGAGCCCATTATTGCAGCCACTGTATCAATACATCT